GTTGGGTTTTTCTCCCTTCCCTTATTTCTCAACCAATTATTCCTATGATTTTCTGGAAACTAAACTTTCTGCTAAACCTGTGCTCTAACAATCTTGGAAAGCAAGGCATTAGCCTTTTGAAAAACTGACTCTCACAAACATTCCTTCCTTTAATTGACAAAACTAAGAAACTGACATGTATCCATGAACTCTGCAATGCTCTGGTTTTCTTAAACTTTTTAAGTTGTATTTTCCAGATATAAAAGTGAAAAATTGGTAATAGTTATAAAAATGAAAATACATTAGAACTCTCATAAATCTCATATTTGAATGCCAGCATCCACAATAATGCAGCCACAGCAAATAAGCATATAAAAGTAGTGATTGGCATAGTAACAAGGCAAAAGAAGTGATCCCTTAGGTGGAAGTAACAGCAACCTTGCAAAGTTAGGTTCATGCAGACCAGCAAGTAAGAACCAAAGCTTTACCACTTAAGAGCTGAAAAAATAAATACTTAAAACAAAATGCAACATCTGTTACACTAACAACTGAAGTTTACACAAAAAATACAAAATACCAATTCATGTACAAAGTATATAAAGCTTATTATAATTGTACAAATTATATATCAAAATAAAGACTATTATGAAAACTATATATACTAATTAAAAGAATGCTTACATATATATTTCATGTATCAAATATATAGGAAATTTCAAGATAAATCGATAACACTTTTTTTGCTTCATGTTACACTACAACAAAGTCTTAAATATTTTAAAGTAAACTATACTAAGTTTTAAACTTGCTAATATTTTGAATTTACAACTTTCAAAATACATTTTTGAGAACAGTATAATTCTATATCAAAATAAATATGTGATATTTAATTATAAGCTTTACTACAGCCAAAAATATAGAAATAAACAACTACATACAATTGAAAAAAAAAAAAAATGGTACCTTACTTTCTCTTCTGCCTATATATTCAAGTATTGAAATACACCATTACAAAACTGCATACATATTTTCCACTTAAAAGTAAATCAATGATTGGAATCCCATTGTGTTTTCCCTATATATATTTCTTAATTATCAACTTCTGAGGAAAAAAGGAAAAGTAATTCACCTACAGAAAAAAAACGATAGGTTATCAGCAGGTGGTTATAATTACACAAGGGTAATTCCACCATTAGAGAAGGCAAGCAATCACTGTGAAGTTTAAGACACAGACAATGCATTACTTCTAAACACATTTTTGTCTTAGCTTCCCAACCTTTTCTTTTTCCTTCTGTTTTCGTAAAAAATTATTTTTCATTTCCATAAAGCTTTGACATGCTAGAATAGTTCAAATACAGAGCACATATGAGGGGATGAGGTAAAGAGGATATAAATATAGCTAGTTTTAGAAAGTATCCGGGCCGGGTGCGGTGGCTCACGACTGTAATCCCAGCACTTTGGGAGGCCGAGGCGGACGGATCACGAGGTCAGGAGATCGAGATCATCCTGGCTAACACGGTGAAACTCCGTCTCTACTAAAAATGCAAAAAATTAGCCGGGCGTGGCGGCGGGCGCCTGTAGTCCCAGCTACTTGGGAGGCTGAGGCAGGAGAATGGCGTGAACCTGGGAGGCGGAGCTTGTAGTGAGCCGAGATCGCGCCATTGCACTCCAGCCTGGGCGACTGAGTGACTCCGTCTCAAAAAAAAGAAAGAAAGTATCCGGTTGCTGTTTGGACATGTATCATGTAAAGTTTTGAGAAATTCACAATGTAACAATTCAAACTAAACATGAAAGCATCTTTGAAAGCCAAGTACAAACATTGTTTTGGATCATCTGTTCATATGCTGTAAAAGCATGGCTTATAATGTACGTAAGTTTTATTATTTAACCTTCTTAATGATTTACTATTTTTCTTTCCTGTTACATTAACATTGTGGGTGTTTTTTTGCATCAGCCAAATGTGTCAGGGGAAAAAAGAAGCCAGAAACAGGATATTCTCAAGTGTCAAATTAAGTTAATCTGTATCACTCACCATTTCGAAGATAAAGCTCAAATTCTATCCTTCCTTTCATTTCAAGTGTTTTGTGAATTCCTGTTTTCTATGCTATTTATTAGTACTAGAGTGAGTATTATAATCGCACTCTCAATTACAGAGTTCACAATATCATATAAGACTTGGAGTACTAAGCTTAAAATGTAATTTGCTACAAAAACAGATTTTAGCATATATCTAGCTGAATACATGTGGTTTACAAATCTCTGGGTAACAATTTTCTACAGTGCTTTAAATGTTAGAATTTTAAATCTTAGGAAAAATGGAAATTATATTTCTGGATAATTTTTATATCATGGTCTAAACTACAGATGTGACAAATCTCACTAGGTGAATCTAGACTCTCACCTAGTGAGATCCAATGCTCAAGCTGAATCAACATGGGTTTAAATTCTAACTTGCCACTTATAAGCTGTATAATCAAAGACAGTTTATTTGGCCATTCAAAACTTCAATTTCTAATCAGTAAAACATGGTAATAATCATACCTCCTTCACAGAATTGTTCTAATGATTAAATAAGATTATGCATCTAAATACAGTATAATAAAAATTTCTGTTATATAAGTAATATATGCACCTGGTAAACAAGGAAAATTTGTCAATATATCACAGAAGTCATTTTGATTCAAATATAGTTTTTTTCCTAGCTTGTTTTGTTGTTTATTTTTTCAATAGACTAGAGTGCAGGAGCATGATCATGGCTCACAACAGCTTCAAACTCCCGGGCTCACGCAATCCTACCACCTCGGCCTCTTAAGTAGCTGGGACTATAGGCATGTGACCACCATGCCTAGCTAATTTTAAAAAACGATTTTTTAGAGACCAGCCTCCAGCTCAGGCTGGTCTCAAACTCCTGCTAGACTGTTGATTTTTCAGCCACCAAGTAACAACAGCTTAACATGAAGTATGTGAAGTCAGCTAAACACAACAGGGCGAAGGAAAAGTGCAAAGAAATTAAATTAGCTGGGCATGGTGGCGCACGCCTGTGGTCCCAGCTACTCAGGAGGCTGAGGTAGGATCACTTGAGCCCAGGAAGGTGAGGCCGCAGTGGGCCATGACGGTGCCACTGCACTCCAGCCTGGTGACAGAGTGAGACTCTGTCTCAATAAAAAAAAAAGAAAAAAGGAAAAAAAAAGATGAAAATGAAAAAAGGGTTAAATACCTTCACATTTTTAATTGTTTAATTAACAAGTTATAAGCGAACAGTCAACTCTTGTTTGTATCACTTCTTCATAGCCTTGAGAAAATGCAAGAACATAACACAGCTTTCACTTCAACCACTGATAGTAATATGCCACAAGGATCTAGGAGAATATGCATCTATTGTGTACCTATAAGGACCTGAGTGAATAAGCATCCCTTGTGTCCCTACAAGGACCCAAGTGAATATGCATCCTTTGTGTCTCACAGCTCATATACGGGACTGATGTGAGCTGTGAAACACATGGGATGAATACTGAGCATTTATAAAATCATAAAAATAACTGTAATCATTTATTTAAAACTGTTTTGACTACATGCTCAAATCTATCCTAGTTAAAAAGTAATTTATTGAAAGTGTTCCATTCCTTTAAAATCAACTTGTATATTAATGTACACAATGCCCATTTACTCCCACATCACTACTTCTTGGCTCAGTTTGGCTATTTTGTCCTATATGTTCTTACTGTATGATTCTCTCTGATCTTTGTCTATGTTGTACGTTTCCTTAATTCAACAGTCTCAACCTTTCCTTTCCATCACATTACCTTCAAATCTTTCTTTAAAAATGAAGTTCTGTATCTCCTGGAGTATTTAATAAAGATTTAACATGAATTTAACTGTGCTAGTATAGTTACTGTTTTTATTAATGTTTTCTAAGAAAGTTGCTTGGGTTTTCAGTGGTCTATTCCAGGACTATTCCCTCCACTCCTCATCATCCCATCATTTGTATTGTGTAATACTGCAGAATGTGAGGTTTCCAAGGAATGTATATTTTGTGCTATAGTAGAAATGCCTGTATTCATTTAACGTACTACTTGCCACAAAACAAAAACTCAAGTATTTATTACAAATAATAGCTGAATAAAAATACTGTCACATTCATGGGTTAGTATCCATCCAATGACCAAAACTTATTAAAGATTATAATCTACATGTGTTGTTTCTACTATAGTTCTAAAATTCACCTACTGTAAGAGTTTAGTTTTAGTTCTAAGAATTTGTTTTCTGAAAGATAATTTAAATAGATAAGTCCTGATCAATTCTTAAAAAGTGATGGTTTCTGGCAATTTATCTCAAATTTTAATTTATGTTATAAGTAGGATTAGGATTATGAATTAATTTGGCATACATATTGATTCAATATTGTATTTCTTCATTAAAATAGCCTTAACAGACACAGAAAATTAAATCAAAACCAGAAATTTTACCTCAACAGATGCAGAAATAAAATGAGATCATCCAAGAGTTCTCCTGGTATACTTTTGTTTTGGTAAGAAAAGAACTTCAACAATCCAACTTTGATAATAGATTTAATATACTGCAGGTTTGAACAATGAATTGATAATATTTTGAGTATGACTCTAAAATTATGTAATACCCAAATAAACTTCTAGACATTTTTAAAGTGGAGGTTATTAAAGAAAATTTACATACTAAGGGACATACATTTTTGGATGCTATACTGGTTATTATTTCTAATTCTAATATCTATAAGCAAAAGCTACACCTACTTTAATAGTTACACTTTGCTTATTTTAAAAATTCTGGAGAGACCAGAGTTTTGTATAGACAGATGTACTGGCAGAATCCAGTATCCTACACAGAAAATTTAAAACTAATATAACTTTGATTATCATCCAGCAATTAATAAACACTAAATTTTACTACAGCTATGGCTTAAAACACTTTTTCAGCACAAAACAAGTATCTAAAATTTTCATTTCTCTTTAATTGATACACGAAAGCATAAGAAGGATACTTACTGGCTGAAGCCTGAGGTTGCATGCGAGGTATTCCTCCATTTGGCACTTGAAAATTTGAGTCACTTCTGCTGCTTTTCACTGAGTCAACTTGTGTATTAGATGTTCGAGACAGGTTTGGAAGACTGCGTCTTAGTTTTTCTGCAAAAGAATTTTAATTTAAAAAAAAATCATATTCTTTCAGATGGAGAAAATTAAAATATTAACTAGCATTCAAAAATCAAATTGTTTATCAAACATTCTGTTTATTTTATATGAGAAAACAGGAAGGACTTGTCTTATTAAAAAAACAAACAACTCAATCTAGGATCCGTAAGTGGGTAGAATATGAGAACCCTTAAAGATAACCACAAATTATATATTTAAATCAAAATCTAAATACAGGTAAACTTCATAAAACAATGAAGCAAAAACAACCAAGTAGAATGATATTCACTTTCTCTTTTATTTTTGTAATGATTCACTATTAATAAAATAGTAAACCTGACTAAACTCTTGATTTACTTATCTGGAATACAAAAACTTGGCAAAAATTGTATTACTTTCATAGTGTAATATAAAGGAGACTTTTTTTTTTCTTTACATCTACAAAGCTTTTTTTTTTCTTTGAAAACAGGGTCTCACCTCGTTGCTCCAGAATGGAGCGAATGGTGTCGATCACTCGTTCTCACCCAGTACTTTGAACTCCTGGCTCACAATCTCGCCAGCCTCAGCCCTCCAAGTCACTAGGACTAACAATGTGCCCACCATGCCACACAGCTACTTTAAAAAGTTTTTCCTAGCAGATGGGGTTTTGCTATCTCTCGCACACGCTAGCACGAAACTGTCTAAGCTATCATAAAAAGACTATCTTTTTAACCTTCCATTTCTTCAACATGCGCTGTCGAAATCTGCTGCAGGGACTGGCCCGTGACATGGAAAGGCGAGGTTGCTGTAAGCAGGGCTAATCAGCGCTGTGGCGGACACTCTATTATTTCAATCGTCCCGAGAATGAGACGTTCCGAACGACGCCGTGAACTCTCTGGGTGAGATGCTTGGGCGTGACCGGTACGAGGTGAAGTTGCGATCGTGACTGGTGAGAAACCTGTTAAAAGCCAGGGTATACCTGCATGCATCGCATAGTTGTCCAATCGTTCATGCATTCTAACTTTGTGCATCCAAGCCTGATCACTTAAAAGTACCGGACGGCCCCGGTCTTGGTAAATTCAAGATGAGACCAGAATGCGCCGAGACGCGGTGGGTGCATATTCTTGCGGAGAACCGTGGCCAACAATGAATGTATTGTAATCTATCACTTTTAACGACATGGTTAGAATACTTTTTACAAATTAAAGCAACAGTTATCAATAAAAAATCAAAGGGGCGGTGTAGTGTAACAAAATTTCCTTTCTGCTTTTACACGCCATTACTACGGCCTAACTATCGGCATAATACCAGAGGAAATAAATCACATCTGAAGGTCATTCTTAAATTTGGAATGAAACCCCCCTAAACACTGCCAATTTCCAGATTTCGTTCTGAAAGCTAAAACATCCTGTCTCACAGTCGGTAATCCGCACACCGCACGAATTTTTCAACACTCGCCGCCCTAAAGATGTAATCCAAAATTGAGACTAATATTAAGTGAATAATCGAGGGAAACAGCATTACCCGCCAACCAGCGGAACGCAACTATCGTACGTCCGGCGGGCAGTAAATAAAACTACTTGGATACTCTAAGTTACTGAAATAATCACTTACTCACATGAAGATGATACAAGTACCAACCAGATACCTTCTAGCCCACTTATAGAGAATCAGTACCTGGCGCACCAAACCGAAAAGTCTTATTTGCTTCACTGACCCAGAAGGACCTTCCGATTCTTTTACTTTTTTAAGACTGTTTCAAGCTTAATTCTAAGTCTCAAGTAAAGGAATTTTCAAAGAATTCTCATATGAAGCTTGAATACTTCGAAAAATACCCAAGCAACCTGGAAGGCCCT